CGTCCGCTTGTTTATTTTCCACATGAAACTTTCACAATAAAACTGAAGATCCTGTTGAGATCTTTCAAAATAAAATGAATTACATGAAATAGTATGCAGTGTTTACGGATGAGAGGCCAAAAAGAGCCATCAGCTTCGTCCATCAGTCAGAACACCTGACACCAGGTACATGACGACCAGCTGAAAACACAAGTCGAGATGCCCGAGATTCACAGAATTTACAGAAAATGCAACATTTTTGTGATATATATCGTTGTCGGGATGATAAATGTCTTTTATCGGGATATGAAATATTGCACAGCCCTCGTGATGTTGACTTCACCGCTCAGTAGTTTTAATATTGTGATCGAATGGTGCAATCCATAACTGGAAAAGACACAACACGGCAGATTAGCAAATAGCATTGCGTTTTATTCATGACTAATGAGAGCACATCTTTAAAGATTTGGAGCAGAGAACATGTAAAATGCATATTTCACCTCAAATATTAGACATATACAACTCAACATTTTTCATGTTCTGGTCATGAATCTATTAACTAAAAGCAACTCGCCCTGTCTCGTTAGTTAATATTAGCATGGCTCTCACTTTTGAATGAGGCAGAATGGAACAAAATGTTCTAGCGAGCTGAAGTGCCCGTAAGGTTGATCGTAAGTTAGCCCCAAATGAAGAAAAGCACTGCTTACTCCTTCTTTTAGGCACTATAATTACATGTAGTGTAGTAAAGTTTAACATAACCTGTAAATCTGTCCCCTCTCCCACTGCCTTGATATATCTCATATAACCCTTTAGTCTTATCAATATTTCCACAGCCAGTTAGTTTTCTCCTCTCCCGCCACTTCACATTTAACAGCCACACTCCATTAACAAATGTACATATTGCCACAGGCTGACATTCTTTCACAAAGCAGGAAAGCCATTTAATTTCTTTCTCCTTCAGGCTCAGACACCAAATGCTCTTTAAACAAATGAAATAAGACGGTATTATTTCTGAAATAATAGGAAGTTTAACTGGATGCCACGGGCAACCTGTGGAGCATCTTGCAAATAGTGAAAGGAGGTAGAGGGAGCTATCCAGTGAGGCTAGAAATTGGCCCTCTCTTTTGTAGCCTGGTTTCAAGATTTTGTTTGCCTGATTCTTCATTTCCACTGCGGTTAATAACAGGCAAGACAGTTATGGATGATTTCTGTGATGTGGTGGTAAATGCAGCCCGTTGGGGGAGCATTAGCGAGCTCTGACTGCAGTGGGAAAACTTGTTTCTCGCTTTTGTCAAGTAAAGAAGAGTGCAGCTCAAGCATGCCTGCTGGAGGGGAAGAGGAAAAAAAAAGATCAAATAAGTTAGTGCACGCTGGTGAGCAGGAGAAGGGCACAAGGGACGCCACTGGAGTGAAGTTTTATTAGGTGCCTCAGCCAAGTTTATGGAATACAGCGTGGGCT